GCTGGGGGATCCACCTCGGCATCAGCCACGAGCACAAGGCATGGCTCATTCTGGACCTTCAGAGCCAGAAAATCAAGAATGCGCGCGGCATCATCTTCTACGAACGGCTCTTTCTTCGGCAATTCCGCGAAGACGAGCAGGCGAACGCAAACCGCGTCTACGCCAACGACGGTCACAGTTACGCCTCTCTTGAGGACGTAAGCCGCAGCAGCAATTCTGGAGCAGGACCCCAGAGGCGAGTTCACGAGAGGCGGTCGCAACGACGACGACGACGATGATTCAAGAGAAGGAGGAGGGGGCACAGCAGGAGGCGCAACAGGAGGAAGCGGAAACAACGGAGGCGCAGCACCACCAACACCTCCTGATCCTGAGAGTGACGACGGCGACGTGCAGGAAGTCACTCCACAGCATCGCCACGACAGCACAGTCACTGGACCTTAACTCCTCGGGCTTCACACTGTCAGTAGAGCTACACTGTGAGATCCCCGATCGATCCTAGGGGGGGTTACAGGCGCGTTTGCCTGGGGGGTTATGGGCGCACTGACCCGCTACTGAAACAAGCCCTTTTATCCCAATGGTCTAGTGGTTGGGATTCTGACATGGTATCAGAGCGGTCTCGGGTTCGAATCTCGGTGTATGCACATGTTGGCCGTTGCCACTGTGCTCAGTCCTAGGCCTCCCAGTGTGGGGGGGTGTCAGTAGAGCTACACTGTGAGATCCCCGATCGATCCTAGGGGGGGTTACAGGCGCGTTTGCCTGGGGGGTTATGGGCGCACTGACCCGCTACTGAAACAAGCCCTTTTATCCCAATGGTCTAGTGGTTGGGATTCTGACACACACCGCCACCTCAACGGCGCCACGCGTCATCGAGCCAAAAAATCCTCGCCAAGCACTTACAGGACCACACAGCAAGGAATGGCGCGAGGCGATGGACGCGGAAATCAAGGCACTTGAGTCCCCCCGCGTGAAGACCGCAACTGACGGCACGATTGAGTGATTCAAAGCACGCTGGGTAGTGCGTGGCTACGATCAGAGGCATGGCATTGATTTCGACCAGACATTTGCACCGGTCAGCCGCCACACCTCCGTCAGGATTCTCCTCGCCATTGCTGCAGCACGACACCTCCCGCTCCGACAAATCGACGTGAAGAACGCGTTCCTATACGCGTTAGTAGATGCAGTAATTTACGTGGAGCAGCCGCACACGTATGGTAAAGGGGACTCGCGCGTCTGCCAGCTGAGAAAGTCCCTCTACGGGATCAAACAAACGCCAAGGCTCTGGCAGCAGTTCCTGCACAACATACTGCTTGAAATTGGGTTCAAGCAGCTGCCTCACGATCCTGGGATGTATCGCCGCGATTTCCGCGGCAAATACATCCTACTCACGGTCTACGTCGACAACCTCCTCTACACAGGGTCAAGCAACGAATTGCTTGAGCAATTCGAGAAAAACCTCGCAGGGCGCGTCGACATCACCTGCAACCATGACGTGAAGCAGTTTCTTGGGCTCAACATCACCTACTCGCCGGAAGCCATTCATCTCTCAGCAGCCAAGTACGCGGAGGAGCTCAGCAAGCGTTTTAACATTACGCCTGCACCACTTTCCACCCCTTACCGCACTCCAGGACCCAACCACAAGCCTGACAACAAAGCCCTATCCTCTGCTGGGCTCCACACCTACCAGCGGCAGTTGGGATGCCTACTCTTTGCATCCGTTACCTGCAGGCCCGACCTCTCCTACATCGCGAGCCAGTTGGCTCAGTACTCCCGCAAACCAACGGCTGAGAACCTGCTAGATCTCCAGCTGGCACTTCAGTTCTTCATATCCACGCCCAATGTTGGGCTCTGCTACTCCACCATCCCAACCTCGTCCTTCAACCTCATCGGCTACGTGGACGCTGATCACGCCGCTGACCTCGACAATCGACGGTCCAGGACAGGCTTCCTTTTCCGCCTCGAGCCCAGCGGCCCCATCTCCTGGAATTCACAGAAGCAGGAATTGGTTGCCCTGTCATCAGCGGAGGCTGAAATCATCGCAGCAACAGCAGTCGTTCGCGAAGGCCTCTACCTTCAGGAACTGGTGCAGGAGGCGAAAATTCCAGCCTCGACGAATTTTCGCTTGCACTGCGACAATCAGAGTGCGATCAGGATCGCGAACAAGCCGGGGTTCATAAGTCGCACCAAACACATCGCGCTGCGGTACTTCTTCGTCAAGGACGAAGTTGACAAGGGCAAGGTTGACCTAACCTACTGTCCTACGGGTGACATGGCAGCTGACTTCCTCACGAAGAAGCTGTCACGTCAGCAGTACCAGCATTGCTTCGAACTCAGCGGAGTAGTCAAGCAGGTCAAGACTCGCTACGGCCAGGAGTGAAGGGGGGTGTTACGAATAGTGATTATTGAAACACTATTGTACACTCCTCACCGCAGCAATCGAAGCACACACTATCGAGAACGAAGTCGAAACGGCGGAGGTAACACGAAAGGTCGCACGGTTACGTTAGCATCTGGACCGTCGGGTAGACAGCATCAGGCAGCAGCAGTGGCGAGGATTCTGTCCGAACAGTTTCGTAACCACCCGGAGTCGCACAGTTGGATTTCGCTGCAACAAGGAAATGTACCCCTTAGAGTACATGGCTAACTAGGTCGTTTCGAATTCCCCTGTACTCTTATTTATATTCCTTGTACAACATGTTTTTATCATCTCAAGCATTTACATTCACTCTGCTATTGAGGTCAAGGGCCCACCACCACTAAACTAGTAGTGTACGAACCTCCCTGAGGTGATCCTGGTTAGGATCGACTTCTGATCGCAACATGGTTGGATGGGCCACAGCTGTGCAAACCAGTGGTTGGATGGGCCACAGCTGTGCAAACCAGTGGTTGGATGGGCCACAGCTGTGCAAACCAGTGGGCCACAGCTGTGCCGAGTTTTGCTCTTGGAGTGTTGCTCTTGGAGTTTTGCTCTTAGAGTATTGCTCTTGGAGTTTTGAGTGCATCTGAGTTTTGAGTGCATGGAATACATTAGAAGTTTGGTTTGCATAATATTGTTCTTCTTTCATCCCACATTAATTGGCTGCCTGTCATTCATTGCAGTCATGATTAATTCAATTGGACCGACTAGTGGTTTCAAATGTCTAAGCATGAATATACAATTTTCGAGCCACACAGACACGATATTTACGAAAGATAATTTACAACATTGCTCTTACCTCGTCCTCACATCTCCATGTTGCTTGCCTGCACTGTTGCACTCCCTTCAATCTGGCACCGCACACAGCATGGCGCAGCACGCAACACGGCATAGCACACAGCATGGCGCAACACGCAACACGGCATAGCACACAGCACAGCACATAGCATATCACAGCATATAGCATGGCACAGCACACTGCATGGCACAGCACACAGCATGACACAGTACACAATATAGCGCATTACACAGCATGGCACAGTACACAGCATTGCACAGCACACAGCATCGCACCACACATAGCTATGCACAGCACACCACATCGCACAACACAAAGCATCGCAGCACACATCATCGCACAATACACAGCATGACACAGCACATAAGGCAGTCATCCTGCTCATGGGCATCATGTGCCACCAAGCATGAGCATTTGGCTCTCATGCAACAGGTGGCATCAGCACCATAAGAATTGTTGAAAGTTATTTAAATCCATTAAACCTTAGGTTGCTACCTAATCCCTCCAATAACTGCTCTCTCCCAGGCCATGAGAGACAGCCATGCACAAGAGGGAAGGCTATAGTGAGCGAAGATTTAGGGTACATTCCGCTGTGGACACTGTCCCAATCGATGTGTCCGAATCGAGTGTACCGCTCCGAACCGAACTAAACCAGAGACGCGAAAATTTCGAAACTAGGGTGCAATTCGTTGTAATACGATGCAGTGCGGTAGAAACGGTTGTGACACTTTCGATTGGGACATGTCCAGCGCGGAATGTACCCTTATTAGCACAAGGAAATGGCGTGTATGGCCGGGGTCGAACTTTGCAAAAGCTCGAAAACTTAGAGAGCTTTTACTCGGCAGGGTACACTCGATAGACGTGTTCCTACAGTGCAAGCGATTGGAGTTAGAACTTCAACAGTTTTCCAGAAATCACACGCGCCCTAAAACATATGTTTATGTAAGCTGCTGGCTATCGGGTAAAGCTCTAACCGTTGGGAAGGGAGAATCATTCTCAACCATACTAAACCGCGCTGTTGGAGGCTAGATCCACTACAGCCAGAGGATATTACTGGTCATGGGCTTGGCAATTGCGAAAGTTTCCCATGGTTTTGACGAATGCTTGCGTAGATTTTGACGAACGCTTCCCACCACTCATCCTCACCGTTCTGTCCACCAACCTCCACAAATTTTGGAAGTGACTTCTCAAAGCAATCGGAAATCCCTGACGTAGCAGTCAAGTCTGTTGAGTTGAGATGAGATTATCCACCTCGAAGTATCCACGCATCCAGATGAAACCGCTCGGACGCGTCAAGATAGTAGACACTAGTGCCGGCCGACTTCAATGCACATCTTCGACCCTTCGGACGCTTCGCGTCCAGTTTCTAGCTCGTAGAATGTCGTAGAAGCTCCTAGTTACTGCGATGTAGGAGTTCTAGGAGTCGAAAGCATTCGCATGGCTGGATCGCATGCAAGCGCGCCTTCTCCTGCGTGCAGCATGTTAGGGCCTTCGGTCGTTCATCAATTTTAGCGCATAGCAGCTCGTGCTGACCGGGATGTAGGAGCGGTGGTATTCAAAAGCATTTCCGTGGTTGGTTTGTGCGCGAGCTCGCAGTGACTGCCGTGCAGCATGGTAAAACCGGTCTTACCTCCAGGGGACTGGCGGGTTTTAATTCTAAACCGGCGGGGTCTCATAGTAGCTCGTACTGACCGCCATGTAGCATTCCGAAACCGTTTGCACCCCTCTAACTCGTAACAACCGCCATATAAGATTTCGAAACCGTCTACTTGGCATCAATTGATCGCCATGCACCGTTCACCCTCCATGCCAGCTGCCGCATATGGCGGGGCCACGTCATTGTTGTCCACGTCACCGCCTCCAGGCCAAGCAGACGGCTTTTCTTACGTCAGTCCTGCCGGCATCGACGTCACCGCAACCCGTTCGGACCCCTCATCCATATCAAACCTCTCCCGAACCTCCACCGGACCTCCGCTCTCCCAAGCCTCTACCGGGCGGTCTCTCTCCCGAGCCTCCAGCGGAGGCTTGAGCAGCAGCAGCTGGACCGGCGTTCCGCCTTGGGACTGGCCGGAGTCTCTAGCGCCCGCTTTTGTGGCGGGAGCAGCGGGCAGCGGCGGTGGCGCATGGGGGACAGCGGGTGGGGGAGGCGGAGCATGGGGGGCAGTGAATGGGTCAAGGGCGGGAGGGGCGGCGGGGGGAGGTGGCACGGGAGAGGGCGCGCAGCAGCAGGGGAGCTTGCAGGGAAAGCCGGCCTTGGGAATGCACTCTGTCGGCGGGTATATGCTTCCTGGGAGCGGGTATGGCGGGGCTGCTGCTGGTGGTTTGGGGGGATGGGGAGGGCCAGGGGCCTTCAACGGAGGGGGAGGAGCAGGGGGCGCAGGCGGAACGGGAGGAGCAGTGGGAGCGGTGGAAGCAGGGGCGGTGGCAGCAGGGGGAGGTGGGATTGGGATCGGAACGGAGGTGGGATTTGGCCGTCAATCCTTCCTTGCAGCTTCCTCCACGTCCCCCCCTAACATCACCCGTTCACTCACAGACCCTCGCATCTTCGCCCCCCGCCAGGCCCCCTGGCACGCACCCGCGCTCTCCCCCTTTCCCGCTTCCGCCTCCCCCCCGCCTCCCCCTTCCGCCTACTCCCCGCCTCCCACGTCCGCGTTCCCACCGGGCTTTCCCCTGCTGTCCGTTGACCCCTTGTCCCCGCTGGGGGCGGGCGCGGACCTGCTGCTCTCCCCCACGCGCCCGCTGCCGGTGTGCCCGGCCAAGGGGCAGTGGGTGCGCGGCAGCCAGATCGGCGCAGGGGGCTTCGGGAAGGTGTTTCAATGCGTGAGGTGAGGAGGGTGGCATGGCATGGTAGGTTTCAATGCGTGAAAGGCAGTTGGCTTTGTTGCGAATGACTCTCATGCCTCCTCTCGTGCATTTCAAATCTGTCTGCATCTCGCCCCTCCTCGCCCACGCCTCCGTTCGTCCCATGCCCCCCCGTGCAGCATCGTGACAGGAGAGGCGTTTGCAGTGAAGCAGGTGGCGTTGATGGCTCCAAAAGCCATCCCGGACCTGTCTGCTTCTCGCCCCCAACCCACGCCCCTGCCCCCCATGCCCTCTGTGCCCCTGCTGATTCCCCCCCGGTGCGCCTGCATGTGCCCCTGAGCAGTAGCATGACAGGAGAGGTGTTCGCAGTGAAGCAGGTGGCTTTGGATCGCTCCGATGCTGAGTTCAGGGGCGACCACTCCATCGAACAGCTCAAACAGGTGCTTGCGCGGGCAGATTAAACACATGGGGCGGGCAACTTGCGGTTGGGAAGGTCAAATGTGTGGGCGGGCAGCTGAAACAGCTGCCAAGTGAGCAAGCCATAAGATGTCTCTGCAGCTGGTCGTACTCTGTTTGTTCTCTGCCATGCGTTGCCATGTGATGCACGGCTATCCTATTCCATGCCGTCCTAACCCGTCCCATCCCATCCCATCCCATCCCATCCCATCCCATCCCATCCCATCCCATCCCATCCCATCCCATCCCATCCCATCCCATGCCATGCCATGCCCATGCCATCCCATGCCATGCCGCACTGCACGGTGCAGGAGATCATGCTGCTTAGTCGCATCAACCACCCCAACATCGTGCAGTACCTCGGTTGTGAAATCGTGAGTGCTCTCGGCTCCCTCCTACCTCAGAGAATTCTCTAGAGTCAGTTCAGTGCACCATGCAGTACCTCGGATGTGATAATAAGAGTGCATGGTGTTGTCTCTGAGGGCACGAGTGTGTGAGGTGAGGCTGTGAGGGTGTGACCGGTGTTGCCACCAAGTATCGGATCCCCCACAGCACTTCACTGAACTTTGAGGCGCCTCTAAAGGCAATTCACCGTACCCCACCGCTCTCCACCCCTCCAGAACGACAAGTACCTGTACATATTCCTGGAGTACGTGGAGATGGGGTCCATCCTCAACGTGCTATGTGGGCCTGGAGGCTGGAGCTACCAAGCGTCTGATTTCCTCACCGCACCCCACCGCTCTCCACCCCTCCAGGACGACAAGTACCTGTACATATTCCTGGAGTACGTGGAGATGGGGTCCATCCTCAACGTGCTATGTGGGCCTGGAGGCTGGAGCTACCAAGCGTCTGATTTCCTCACCGCACCCCACCGCTCTCCACCCCTCTAGGACGACAAGTACCTGTACATATTCCTGGAGTACGTGGAGATGGGGTCCATCCCCAACGTGCTGAAGAAGCTGCCAGTGCGCCCCCACGCGCTGCTCAGCAAGTATGTGCGCCAGGTGCTGCAGGGACTCGCCTTCCTGCACTCCATGGAGTTCGTCCACCGGTGAGTGGCATGGGGGGAAGGGAGGGTGGGGGTGCAGGTGCCGCCCGCAAGGGCAGGTGAGTGGAGGTGCTGCAGGGGCTGGCGTTCCTGCACTCCATGGAGTTCGTCCACCAGTGAGTGGAGGTGGATGGGAGAGGTGGGGAGGTGGGGATGTGGGGAAGTGGGGATGAGGGGAGGTGGTGATGCAAGTGCGAGTGCTTTCCTCACTCAGCAAGTATGTGCGGCAGGTGCTGCAGGGGCTCCTTCCTGCACTCCATGGGGTTCGTTCACAGGTGAGCAGCATGGGCGCCTGCATGATGGGGATGAGACTTGTGTGGTGTTTTCCCACAGGTGCTGCAGGCAGGGACCCGCCTTTCTGCACTCCGTGGAGTTTGTTCACAGTTTTGGTCAACCCCAAGTACCCACCCACCCACCCACCCATGCGTGCATGCCTGTCATGCCATCACTCGTCACTCACCCCACCCATGCCATCACCCATGCCATCACCCACCCACCCACCCATGCATGCAGGGACATCAAGTGCAGCAACATCCTGGTGGATAAGAGCGGCACCATCAAGCACCCACCCATCCACGGGTGTCATGCCATCACTCATCACTCACCCCACCCCTGCCATCACCCACCTACCCACCCACCCACCCACCCATCCATCCACCCACCCACCCACCCACACATGCGTGCATGGCATGCAGGGACATCAAGTGCAGCAATATCCTGGTGGACAAGAGCGGTACCATCAAGCTCGCTGACTTTGGCCTTGCCAAGCATGTGCGTTGGGGGGAGGGGCGTGTGAGTGAGTCGCGGAATGTGTGTGAGGAAGGGGTGTGTGTGTGAGCGGGGGGGCGTGTGTGTGAATGGGGGGGCGTGTGAGAGACTCTGAGGATTCTAAAATGTCTTTCGAAGTTCACTTGACACATTCCCCCTTCCTCCATCTCACCACTTCACGACTTTTGAGACGTCTCAAAAGTCATTCCCCGTTCCGCCATCTCACCACTTCACGTTCGATCCTATCGCTCCTCCCATCCCCCGCTCCATCTCTCCATCCCTCCCCCCCTCCTCGCCGGCCCCCCATCACAGTACTCAGCATCGTTGGACATGACGGGCTGCCGTGGCACTGTCTGGTGGATGGCACCTGAGGTATGCAGCACCTGAGGTATGCAGCACCTGAGGTAGGCTAAGTGTGGGGCAGGTGATATCTGTGATGGGTGGCATTCTTTGGATGCATCTGTGTGCTGTGGCCCATACACTGTTCAGTTCTCATTGATCCTTCCCTTCCCCCCTCCCCCCTCCCCCCTCCCTGCTCCCCCCTCCGCCTCCCTCCTCCCCTGCCATTTCACTCTCGACGCACTTGACGTTTCTGCCCTCGTCTTTCACCCCACAACCATCCCTTCTCTCCCCTCCCACCCTCCCCTCCCCTCCATCCCCACCTCTTCAAGGTTATCAATGCATCGGGAGGCTACGACTGGGCGGTGGACATATGGTCGCTGGGCTGCACGGTGATAGAGATGGTCACGCTCTGGCCGCCCTGGTTCCACCCCGCCTCCGGCTGCCCCATCTGGGGCCGCGGCTTCGGCCCTGTGAGTTCCCTCTCATCGTGACTGCCACACAAATGGGCAATCTTCTTATCTGCGAATCCCACAAGTGGTTCAACTAACCCCTTTCCACGTGCCCCACATTCCCCACACGCTCTGGCTGCCCTGCTTGCTCCCTGCCAACGGCTGCGCCATCCGGGGCCATGGCTTCGGACCCGTGGGTGCAATTGTCCTAGCAGCTACTAACCCCACAATCGCTTCGACTGAACCCTCACAAATGTGGGGTTTGACTGAACCCTCGCAAATGTGGGGTTTGACTGAACCCTCACAAATGTGGGGTTTCACTGAACCCTCACAAATGTGGGGTTTGACTGAACCCTCACAAATGTTGGTTTGGCTGAACCCTCACAAATGTGGGGTTTGACTGAACCCTCACAAACGTGGGGTTTGACTGAACCCTCTATTGCCAGTGTCCCACTTGCCCCTCATATCCCACATGCCCCACATGCTCTGGTCGCCCTAATTCCACCCCACCAACGGCGGTCCCATTTGGGGCCGCAGCTTTGGCCCCGTGAGTGCAAACATCCCAAACCACAGTAATCCAAGCTTTGCTCCTGTCCCCACCTGCCCATCCTCCACCTGCCCCTTCCCCCACCTCACCTCCTTACCAGGAAACGGCCTTCATGAAGATAGCAGGAACGCAGGTGCCTCCGCCCATCCCACCGGGTCTGTCGGAGGATCTCGCAGACTTCATCGCCAGCTGTCTGCACCTCGACCCGCGCCGCCGCCCCGCTGCTACGGCCCTGCTGCGCCACCCCTTCGTGCTCGCACACTCCCCTTAGTAAGCAGCAGCCATGTGCTCTGAAAGGGCGAGTATGCCCAGATGCTCATGGAGAGGCAAGGCAGTCCCACATGCATGATCTCGCATCGCAGCCATGTTGGGCTCATCGCCTGCTGCCTTCACCACTCACTTGAAGCATCCCTTTGTGCTCTCGCAATCGCCTTTGTACGGCCCCGCTCCGCATGCTGTCCAACTGTGCTATGTCATCTCATCACCATCACCCCGCATGCTGTCCAACTGTGCTATGTCATCTCATCACCATCACCCCACAGTCTGCCCCCCTCCCTCCCATATTGTCGCCCCCTGCAAATGCCATTCTTGCATAACTCAATGCCATGCTTGCATAACTCAATGCCATGCTTGCATAACTCAATGGCTGTCCTCACATGCTATGCTTCACTTCCGCCCTCCCCCCTCCCATCCACCCCACCCCACCCCACACAGCTCCTCCCCAGCATCAGCACGAAATCCTCAGGTGTACCCACCCCTTCCCACCACCATCTCCACCACTTCCCACCGCTCTTCATCCCACTCCTCTCGCCTCTCCTCACCCTCCCAGGCTGCCTTCGAGTCGACTCACAAGCCCCGCTCCTCCTCCCGCTCCTCCTCCCGCATCTCATCCCCCTCCCAGGCACCTGCTCCCTTCCCCTTCCCCCCTTCATCCTCTACCAGCCCCCGGTCAGAATCAGCCCTCGTTACTGTCACAGCGCATGGGCAGCAGGGGCAGACGCAGCAGGGGAAAACACAACAGCAGTGGGCTCAGCAGCAGCAACAGCAGCGGCTAGCTCCCCTGTTCACGGGTTCTGTACCAAGAACAGGAATCTTAGGGTTGCAGCAGCAGCAGCAGCAGCAGGCACAGCAGCAGGCAGAGAGGCGAAGCTCCAGCTTGCAGGACCTCACTGCAAACCCCTCCTCCCCACCTGCACCCCTCCCTCCTCCCTCTCTCCTCCCCTCAAACCCCCCACACTCCACATCCCCTTCTCCTTCTGCCCAAACCTCCCTCTCCATTTCCATCTTTTCAAAATCCTCCGCCCCCTCCGCGTCCTCTGCGTCGTCCCCACTGGGGAACCCCAGGCTGCAGTCGTCGCGGTGGGCAGATGTGTCCACTGCCACGCCTGATGCACCCGCTGCTGCTGCACTGCTTCACACTCACGCTATGCCTGCTGCTCCACCTCAGGCTGGGGCTGGGACTGGGGCTAGGGTTAGGGCTGGGGCTGGGGTTGGGGTTGGGGTTGGGACTGGGGTTGGGGTTGGGGTTGGTTTGCAAGGAGGTGGGGGGTCTGGTTCCCTGGCCCCCTCACTCCTCATCTCTGTGCCTCCCCTCCCACTCCAAGCCACCCCCGCTGCAGCTGCTGCCAGCGGTGTAAAGCCAGAGGAGCGGGAGAGAGAGCGGTGGTGGGCGAAGCAGGGAAAGGCTATGCTACGAGAGGAGAGAGAGAGGGGGTGTGAGGAGGAGGAGGAGGGGGGAAGTGTGCAAGGAAGGCAGGGAGAGGGGGCGCAGCGAGGTGTGATAGAGGTGGAGCAGAGGGGGCAGGGAGGGGGAGCGCAGCGAAGGCTGTTGGAGGCAGCAGCAAGGGCAGCAGCAAAGGCAGCTAGAGAGTGGAGGGAGGGAGGAAGTGACGTGGCACTGGATGCTGACCTGGCAGTGGCGCCTTCTGACGGTGATGGGGATGGTGGACATGAGGGGAGAGGTGCAAGTGAGCAGAGTGGGAGAACGAAGTGGGAGGAGAGGGAGAAGAAGAGCGAGAGAGGAAGTGTGACGGGAAGAGGGAGTGAGCGTGAGAGCAGGGAAGAGAGTGGGAGGGAGAGTGGGAGGGAGAGTGGGAGGGAGAGTGGGAGGGAGAGTGGGAGGGAGAGTGGGAGGGAGAGTGGGAGGGAGAGTGGGAGGGAGAGTGGGAGGGAGAGTGGGAGGGAGAGTGGGAGGGAGAGTGGGAGGGAGAGTGGGAGGGAGAGTCGCAGCGGCAGGGCGAGTAGCAGAGCGAGCAGTCGGGGCAGTGAGGGCGCTAGCAGTCCCAGCCACAAGCGGGGCAGGTCAACGCGGGAACATAAGGCAAACCGTGAAGGCAGATCATCTGGGGAAGGCAGGTCGCCTAGGGAAAGCAAATGGCGCTTTCCCCTCTTTGGCAGGTCCAGCAGCTGGGCAGGGGCAGGGCGGCACGATGGTGAGGCAGGCGCAGGGCAGCTGGTTGGTGGACAGGCGACCGGCAGGAATGGGAATGGATGCGAGGCGGCAGGAAAGGGAGATGAAGAGGCGGGGAGCAGGGGGCGGATTGGCTTGAGTGTGAGGGAAAGGTCACGGCGGGATGGAGGGGAGGAGGCAGCACATGGGGGAGAGAGATACAGTGCGCTGCGAGGAGGGTTGGAGAGAGGTGGAGGGGGGGATGAGGCTGAGAGTGAATCTGCTGCCCCTCCCTCCTCTCCCCGCCGTCTTACATCCCCCTCTTCCCCCTTCCCCTCTTCCCCCGCCAACTCCGCTCCATCACCCCCTGCTCCTCTCTCCCCCCCTGCTTCACCCTTCCCTGCCTCTCGCCCACTCCCTCCCAACCCTGCAGATCCCCTCTCTCCCTCCCCTGCGAACCCTCTCTTGAATAACAATCCCCCCCACCACCGCTCCTCCCTCATCTCCCTCCCGGCACCCACCATCAGAGTCATGGACCCCATTGTACCTCACCCCACAGCACCACAACCCACCGCTCCACAACTCACTGCACCTGATCCAGTCGCCCGTGAGCCAGCTCAGAGTGGACGGGCAGATGCAGGCTCAGATGTAGACGCGCCAAGGAAGAACGCTGCTGCTGCGGCAGCCCCTTGGATTGGAAGGGCGAGTGCAGCCTCCGATGTGGAAAGGGATCACGATAATCTCGCTGCTGCTGCTGCTCGGGTTGGAAGGGCGGATCCAGCCTCAGATGGGGACATTACAAGGCAGAGGCAGGGTGGCGGTGAGAAGAAGGGGCGGGAGAGAGTGCGGGAGCCAGTATCCCTGTGGCAGAAGTTCCAGGAGTTGAAGGTGGGGGGAGGGGTTCCCAGTGGGGAAGCACGAGCGGATGCAGAGAGGCGAGGAGAAGCAGCGAGAGAGGGAGGTGTGGAGAGACAGCAGGTGGAATCGGGGAGAGAGGTGGCAGCAGCGTCACAGCCGAGCAGTGCGCTTCTCTCAAGGCCGGGCAGTGCATCGGAGCAGACTTGTTTTGACGCACCTCACAAGCTGGCAGCGACGTCACAACCGACCATGGGAGGGACAATGGGTTGGAGCAGCAAGGCCGAGCAGCAATGGGTTGGAGCAGCAAGGCCGAGCAGGGGGGGATACAGATGCAGCAGTGTCAGGGCGGAATGGCATATCGGGGGTGGAGCAGGAAGGGGGGCCAGCTGTGCCAGCAGCGGAAGGTGGGGCGATGGAAGAGTTAGAGGATCTGCTGGGTCCTCCGAGCATTGTGGTGCCGCAGAGAAAGATTCTCAAACACTTCGTGCCGCTGCCCACTGCTGCTTCTGCTGCTTCTGCTGCTGCTGCTGCTGCTGCCGCTGCTGCCCCTCTGCAAGCACCACCACCTGCTTTTACCGCTCCTGCTACTACTGCCACCGCGCAGCACTCCTCCTCTGCCTCCTCTGAGGCGCTCTCCTCGCAACATTCCCTCTCCCAATCCTTCCACTTCGTCTCTCCTCCCTCCTTCCTGCCGCCCCGTTCCCCTGCTTTCTCCATCCATCCACAAACCACCACAGCCCCCGCTGCTTCCCTCCCGCTCTCTCACTCGTCCTCGTCTACTTCTTCTCCCTTCCCTCCCTTCCCTACGCCCCCCACCAACCGCTCTGTCTCTCTGACTGCTGCTACCGCCTCTCATTCCCCACCCTCCTCCTTCACTGCCTCGCCTGATCACACCCACACTGCTGCTGAATCCACTCTCCCTTCTCACCTGCCAATAACACCATCAGCACCACCAGCACCACCAGCAACATCAACACCATCAGCACCACCAGCACCATCAGCACCATCAGCACCACCAGCACCACCAGCAACCACGTGGGGAGGAGGAGCAAGCGTATTGGTCCCCACCATTCCGCCATCTTTCACCCCATCTCCACCTCCCACTTTCCCCGCACCATCCCCTTCCCAGACCACACTTGAGGCATTTCAAAAGCCATCTCCACCACCTGCTTCACCCTTCCCACCCCTCTCCACCACACCATTGTTTGCATCATCTGCCCCAATCCCAGTTCCACATCCCTCCACTCCACTCCCCCCCTTCACATCCTCTTCTGTCCCTCCCCTCTTCCCCCCTGCACCGTTCCCCCCCTCACTGCTGCTACCTTCTCATCCGCCCTTCCCTTCAGTATCCCCCTCTCCCCCGCCCGTCCCCACCACCGCTCTCCTGCCACCCACTCCCGTTCAATCGCCCCCCACTCTCCTGCAATCCACTCTCCTGCAATCTGCTTCCCCTCAAGGCGTAACCAGAAGCACAGGCACACACAGCAGTGCGCTTGCATGCAGCAGCACCAGTGACTCGGTGAGTGAGGGGCCTGGTGGGAGCGGGGAGGGGAGGGCGAGTGGTATTGGTGGGGAGGAGGGCGAGCAGCAGTACTACCAGCGGAGCAGGCAGAGGAGGCGGCGGAGAAGCAGACAGGTGTCTGTTTCACCTGTACGGGAGAGAAGTGGTGGAACATCTGAGCAGAGCCAGCTGCAGCAGAGCCAGCTGCAGCAACAGGTTCAATGGGAGCAGATGCAGCAGGTGCAGCAGGCGTGGCTGCAGCAGCAGGCAGCCGTGATGCAACAGTGGATGACGCAGCAGCAGCAGATGATGCAACAGCTGCTGCAAGCGCAAACGCAGCAGCAGCAGCCGCAGCAGCAGCACCAGTGGCAACAGCAGCAGCAGCAGCAGCTGCAGCTGCAACAACAGCAGCAGCAACAACAGCAGCAGCAACTTCAGCACCAGCAGCAATGGCAGCAGCAGCAACAACAGCAATGGCAGCAGCAGCAGCAGAAGCAGCAGCAACATCAGCAGGAGCAGCAACAGCAACAGCAGCAGCACCAGCAGCAGCAGCAACAGCAGAAGGAACAGCTACAGCAGCAGCAGCAACAAGAGCAGCAGGCAGAGTCGAGAAGGGAGCAGATCGAGCAGCCAGAAATTCAATCGGTGCAACACACACGGCAAGTACCGACTGAAGAGCAGATGGGGAGGGGAGAGCAGCAGGCGGATGCAGTGGAGGGGGTTTTGGGTCCGGAGACGAAACAGGGTCAAGAGGCGACGTCTGAGCCAGTGCTGCAGATGATGCAGGTGTGGTCGCAGCAGCAACAGTCCCTGCAGCAGCAGCTTGAGCAACTGGCGAAGCAGCCTCGGCAGGAGCCACAGTCGCTACAGCAGCTGCCGCAGCAGCAGGAGCTTCCAATGCAGCAGCCATGGATGCAACAGCAGAGGCAGCAGCAGCAGCTGGAGCAGGCGCCATTTGTACATCAAGAGCAGCAGGGAATGGAAGTTACCGTATCTAAGGTCAGAGAGTCAAAGGCGTCCGCTGCACCGAGCAATAACCAGGTGCAGACAGCAAGAGCAGGTTCCGAGGTTCCGGTCATGTCTCCTGCACACTCCCATGGGAGCGATGCAGAGAAGAGAGCCTCCCATGGGAGCGATGCAGAGAAGAGAGCCATCGTGAAGGTTTTGTCAAACAATGAGGTACAGTCGCCACGGAATCTCTGGAACCGGTTTAAGCAGCAAAGGGGGCATATCCAGAAGCATGAAGAGGAGGATGTTCGACATGTGGAAGCTTCTTCTTCCATGAGTACCGCTGGGCGTGAAATGTTGTCTACTACCTTTCCGCCCATCAGTCTCAAAGCGCGTGATTTTCCAGCTTCTGCAGAAGGGGAGTTTCTTGAGAAACCAACATTCCCTCCGCTGTTCAATGTGTCACGGGACTCTGATGGTGGTACGACCGCCTTCTTGGACGTGGGACGTGGTTAACGTATTAATTTGATTAATTCAATTTGACTACTCTTATGTTTAATGTCGTATTTGAGTTCATCAAAACCCTGTGTGTTGGTGCTGCTAGGGTGGTTCGAGAACTGTTGCTTCTCCGAAGCTCAGGTGCTCAAACCACACCGCCACGCCAAGCCTTCTGTCATCCGCGGAACATTTCCCTAGCGTATTCACAGATCGAGGCGGAGGGATGCGGTCAGCCCCACATTCCAGAATGTTTTCCGCGCCTCCGCACCATACCCAATCCTTCGCTTCGGCAGCTTGAGCAGCTACCTCTTCTGCCCTCGAGCTTGACGCGGCCTTGGCGGGAAACCCTTGCCTCGGGTTTTGGCTTTTTAGGGGGTCTGCCTTGGGCTTTTGGGTGCCTGTGGGTGATTTTCCTGCCCGCATGTGTAAGCACTGGGACTTACCTGCTCAACTGTCTGTTGGATCTCTGGTGCTTTCTGGGCTGCGTAGCAGTCCGTGTGATTCGGAACAGATTTGAAAACATTTTGACACCACTCGCCCAACCATCCATACCTGTTCGCAAGCACAACCCCCTGCTCCCCAGCTTCCTGCCAGCAATTTGCGGATTCGTTCTTCTCCTAAGCTTCTACCCTTCGACTACAGTTCCAGGCCCGCAGTAGCCGTCCTATCACATCGGTAGCCCGTGCTCGAGCCCTTCCGTCTCGCGTCGTTGCGACTCGCATGCGTACTCGATAGTAGACCGTCGGAGCTTGGCAATGCAACCGAGCGAGCATGACTGGTGGCGGGATTGCTTCACACGTGGCAATTCCGGCCTATTCCTCCGAGTCGTGTTTATTATCGCCCTGCTTCTCTTCGCCTCCAGCCGGGTAGCAAACGCCAGCAACCTCAAAGAATCTTCCAATGAGGAACCCAAGAAATCAGCTTATATTACCAGTCCCAAGCTTAGTCCGAGTCACCGCAGTTCTGAAGAAGCGGTGCCGTTTGTCGATTCTAAAGACACGCGCGGAATAACCGCTGATCCTGCCACGTCAGACGGACCTGTCGGCACCATTGTTCCCTCGCAATCGACACTTCTTCCGAGGTCCAACCGTTTCCACCAAAAACACCCGGCTGCTTCTTGTAATGCATTCATTTTTCGTTTGCAGTTCCGTGCCCAGCGTATTCACTTTTTGGGAGCAGTCGTCTCGCAGTTCTCACTCAGTTCGCTTCTTGGAATATATTGTTTCTTCTCAACCCCTTTCCCAATCCCTCACCTATCCTTATCCCTATGACCCCCTCGCTTCGAGTCCCAGTCCCAAGAACAAATTTGATTCCTATCGTTTGTTCCCAATGACTACACCTCCCGACCCATCCCAGACCATCCTCCTCGTCGAATGTTCTAATCACGCTATTAGACGGCTCGATAAGAGCCGTAGACTCGCGAACCGGCGAGGTGAAATGGACCTTCGCGTCCGGCCAGCCGCTCGTCTCCGCCGCCGGTCCAGCGCAGGGAGCAGGAGCGGAACGGGGACTGGCGGAAGGGGGGCTGGCGGAAGGTGCAGGGAGGAGGGGAGCGGAAGAGAGTGCGCAAGCGGGAAAGGCTAGGCATGCGACGGCGGAACGATGGGGCAGGGGAGATGAGGTGGACTGGGACTATGAGGAGGATGAGGACGAGGAGGAGGGAGAGGAGGAGTGGGGATGGGGGGGAGTGAGGAGCGGAAGGGAGAATGGTGCGCATGGCGGTGGGGGTGGCGGGAGTCTCGGGAGTGGGAAGAGTAGCGGGAAGGGGGAGGCGGGAAAGGGGAGGGGGAGAGGAGGGGGCAAGGAGATGGTTATTCCGGGGGTGAATGGGCGCCTGTACTCTTACAGGGAAGGTCTTGGCTTGCAGGTACGTATGTGGATTGGATTTTGCATGTGCGTGGAATAAAAATAAGTTCACATGCGTGGAGGGAATCTGTATGTGCGTGGATGGATTGATGTGGCAAGTGCGTATGCGTGGAGGTGCATGCGCGTGGTGGGCGTGTAGGCGAATTCAGGGTAGGTAGGGAGATGTCTTGTCTGGCATCTGCCGGCATTGTCTTGCTTCACCCTTCATGCCTGTTAGGTCGCATCACCGTTCTCATACCCTCATTCTACACTCCACACCATAGAAGCTGCCTCCCGCCCTCCCCTCCCCACACAACGCGTTTCCCTCCCTCCCGCTCTCCTCCCCTGGTCTTACCTACCTCCCACCATGGCCTACCAATAATCATCCCCCTTCCCCCTCTTTTCGTTCCTTCACCCCCATTCCCCCAGGAGCTGCCCGTAACAGCCAAAGAGCTCGTCTCCGCCTCGCCTTCAGTCACCCGCGACGGCGCCACCGTGATCGTTGGATCGCAGAAATCAACGGCCTTCCTGCTCGACCCAGTCACAGGCGCTGTGCTGCGCTCCTTCGACCCGCTCGCTCCTCCGGGCGGCGGTGGCTTGTCCTTTTCTGCGACTAGTAATGATGGGAACGAGCAGGCGGACGGCCCACTGGCGGAGTGCCTGAAAATGGCAGAAGAGGAGGGCGGTGGAGGCATGGGCGTTGATGGCGTTGGGTTCCTGGAAGGTTCTAGGAGCAGTGAGAGGGAGGTAGCAGGTGTATTGCAGCAACACCAGCAGCAGCAGAAGAAGGATGAGTGTGATCGCCTGCTTGCCTCGTCCCTTCTGGTGCTCCGAACCGACTATGTGGTTCGGGCGGTGGAGCTCAGGTCCGGCAAGCAGCGGTGGAACGTCAGCTTCGGCGAGCTGAGCCCCGTGAATGGAGCTCTGCTGGGGCTAGCGGGAGGCGTGGGGGGGGGCGTGGGGGGCGGAGCACCAATCGGGGGAGTTTTGGGGGGAGCGCTGGGGGCAGGAAGGGGAGGCGGAAGGGGAAAATCAGGGATGGATCTTACAGGTAGAGGCGTGTTTGATGGTCATGGGAATGAGGTGCCTAAACGACAGCTCTTGCCATCCAGCGTTCCTGGAGAAGATACGGACCCAGAAATTGATCTGGGTATTGGGGCGGGGGGACAAGGGCAGGGGGGTAGAGACGAGATTGGAGGTTCAGGGTTGGCAGGATTCAACACAGGGTTGACCGCTGCAGCTACCACGAGTATAGACCCATCTGAAGAGGGTAATTCTGACATTTACTCAATCCAGCTGACCAACTCGCATAATGGTCAGCAGGCATGGCAGACGAATTTTTCGTCTGCCCCGCTCGCAGCGTTCACGCCGTCGGGCAGGCTGGTGCAGGAATTCGTGTCGCGCGATTCGTCCAAGGACACGGGGCCCGGGCAGGTGCTGTATGTGGGGCGAGTGGCGGGCAGTCCATTCGCCCTCGTCACTCCCAGCACCACTGACGCACCGAACGCCGCTCTCCCCCTCCTCCCGGCCTCACCTCACTCCCCCTCGCCCTCCGATGGCCTGCCTGTGGGCATGTCTGCAGGCATGTCGGGTGGTGGGGGAATGGGGGGTGGTGGCGCGGTGGCGGGTAGGACAGGCAAGTTCACAGTCACAGAGCCGCCCAGGATTGCAGGGACGCGAGGAGCAGGAGGTGCTGCTGGGGAAGCTGGTGATGGGACTGGCGGTGGTGGTAGGGGCAGGGGTAGAAATAGGGGCAGGTTAGGCACTGGTGGTGCTGGTGGTGGTGGCAGCGGTGGGGGTGGCAGTGGGGATGACTCGCTGTACCCCATAGTGGTGAGGGCGCCGGGGGCAACGGCTGCTCTGTATGACGCCATGGGGTGCGCTGACAGCCCTGCTGTGCACGGGGGCGCTGACTCGCCGGGCGCTGAGTATGGAGCGCAGGGCCCCTGGAACGACCACCAGGGACAGCAACAGCAGGGATACAGTAAGCACCAACAGCAGCAGCGGCAGCAGCAGCAGCAGCAGCAGCAGCACTACAGCATGCAGCAGCAGAGAGCGCCAAGTCCAGTGGCAGCAGGCAGCGAGAGGAGCAGCAGCGCGGATGGGGAGGACCCACTGGGATGGACCGGCATGATCAGCCTGTGGGGGCGCGGCACTGGCGCCGGTGACACTATTGGAGTTGCTAGTAACGCGGACATGGAGTTTGGTGGAGGTAGAGGGGAGAAGAACCGCCGTCTGGGGCCCCCGAAGGACATGGAGCCTGCGGTCGGGCCCCAGGCTCCGCCTACCCCGCCGAACCTCATGACCTCGTTTGGGATCCTCGCTGCCGCAGCTGCCACCCTGGCCGGGATAGTCGCTGGCGCTTCGGTATTCTCTTACTCCTCCTCTGCCCCATCCTCCTCCTCTGCTGCGGCTGCGGCTGCATCTGGCCGTGGCACCCCTGTAAGGAATCAGAGGCTGAAGTCGCAGCATAGGCAGGCCTCCTCCTCTCACCCTCACAGGCATGCTTCACACATGAATGGTGCGCCCAGTGGCAGGGTGGCGTATAGAGGAGGGGCTACTAACGAGGATGGGCTGTCGTGGGTGGCACGAGGGTTGGTCGCGCTTCTGCCAGTTTCCTGGCAAGAGTGGGCGGCTGAGCGGTTAGGTGGGGACGGCAGTGGCAATGGCAGCAGCAGCAGGAAACGAGGCAAGCAGGGAGCCGGTAGGAGGAACAAGAGTTCAGAAGGAGCAGCAGGCAGTGAAGCAGCAGCAGGGGGAGCGGAAGGAGTGCTGCTGGGCAAGCAGCAGGACGACCCGGCCAATGGGATCGCGCCACTTGGACAGGACGACCCAGGGGAAGCAGGAAAGGAGGACTCGGGGCAGGGCGAATCTGGGGGGGGGAGGCTGAGCAGGCTTCTGGGAAGTGTGGGCAAGCTGGGCAGTGGAAGCAGGCAGAACAGCGCAGGCAAGGTGATCTCCCGGCGAGGCAGCCGCGATAATGAAGGGCCAGGGGAGGGCGCGGGTGGGGGCGGGGCTGACAACGGCGCAGCAGGCGAGGGGGAGAGTGAGGAGGAACGGGAGGAGCGGGAGGAGGGGCGGTGGGTGGGGCGGCTGTTTGTATCCCGGCGGGTGATCGGGCACGGGAGCCATGGGACGCTGGTGCTGGAGGGGCGGCTGGAGGGGCGGCAGGTGGCGGTGAAGCGGCTCCTGTCTCAGTTCTACGAGCGCGCGAGGCAGGAGATTGCCGCGCTGATTGCCACGGACGAGCACCCGAATGTGGTGCGGTGCTTTGCCATGGAGGAGGATGAGTCGTTTGTGTATGTCGCGCTGGAGCGCTGCGCCTTCAACCTCACTGATCTCGTGCTTGCATGCCGGGCTAGCCTCGCTGCCGCTATGGCACCACCAGCACCGGCTGCTGCTGCTGCTGCTGCTGCTGCTGCTGCTGCTGCTGCTGGTGCTTCTGGTGCTGCTTCTGCTGCTGACGGTGCCGCTGGTGGCGCTGCTGCTGGTGATGCTGCAGGGCCTTTCTCTGCTTCGCCCGCCTCCACCTCGTCCTCCTCCCACAAGCCTCCCACCAGCCCCTTCCAAACCTCCTCCTCCACCACTACCTTCTCCTCCTCCGCCTCCTCCTCTCACTCCTCCTCCTCCTCCTCGCTCCCTCTCTCCGACCCGCCTCTCCACCTCAAAACCCCCTCGCTCTCGCTCCGCCTCTCCCCATCCTCTTCCGCCGAACGAGAAATCATAGCAGCAGCACTGGAGCGGGTACAGGCCTACTGCACCTCGCAGGGCGTGGGGGTGCAGGGGCTGTGCCTGTGGGACGACAAGGGCCAGCCAACACAACAGCTGGTGGGGTTGTTAAGGGACGTGGCTAGTGGGCTTGCGTATTTGCATGACCAGAGGATTGTGCACCGGGACTTAAAGCCCCACAATGTGCTCATCTCGCTGCTGCTGCCCAGCCGGCACCGGCAGCGCGGGCAGTCACAGGCTAGGGCGAGTGCAGGAGTGGTTAGTGGGGGTAAGGGTGGGTTGGGGGCGGGTGACGAGTTTGGGTCTCCTGCTGTGCTGTCGACTTCAGGGGGAGATGCAGCCCCAGGAGGGACAGCAGCAGGATCAGCAGCAGAATCAGCAGCAGAATCAGCAGCAGAATCAGCAGCAACGCCAGATGCTGGTCCTCCCGCCCTAACAGCGACAGCTGCAGCAGTCACAGCATCAGCTGCCTCTGTCTCTGCCGCCGCAGCAGCCCTGGCTCGGGCCATACCGCTACTGGAGGTCCGGATGCGGGGCAAGCTATCAGACATGGGGATAAGCAAGAGGCTCGGCGACGGAGCAAGTTCCTTCGACACAATGACAGCAGGCTCGGGCAGCAGCGGGTGGCAAGCGCCGGAGCAGCTAGAGGACGGGCCACGGCTGACGAAATCAGTGGACATGTTTTCGTTTGGGTGCCTGGTGTTCTTCTGTGTGAGCGGCGGCAGCCACCCGTTCGGAGAGTGGTTTGAGCGCGATGCGAACGTGCTGGCAGGGAGGGCGGACCTGTTCCCCATCGACCATGTGCCTGAGGCACTGGATCTCGTGGCTGCTCTGCTGGACAGGGATCCTGAGAAAAGGTGCGTGAAGGATAGAGTAGGAAGTAACTTTTTCTTCCTGATCGACTCAATAAGCACCCAGTCCTGGCAGGGAGGGCGGACCTGTTCCCCATCGACCATGTGCCTGAGGCACTGGATCTCGTGGCTGCTCTGCTGGACAGGGATCCTGAGAAAAGGTGCGTGAAGGATAGAGTAGGAAGTAACTTTTTCTTCCTGATCGACTCAATAAGCACCCAGTCCTGGCAGGGAGGGCGGACCTGTTCCCCATCGACCATGTGCCTGAGGCACTGGATCTCGTGGCTGCTCTGCTTGACAGGGATCCTGAGAAGAGGTGCGTGAAGGGTGGAATGGTGAGGGAAGAATTCAAGGTCAGGAAAGGTAAGTGCAGGGTGTGTCGGTGCTGACTTGCTGCGGGCCGCACGTCCCACCACCACCTGATACGTCATCATTCCCTCCCACTCTTGCTCGCTCACACGTCTGTTTTCCCAACCAACCCCTCCCGCCACCGTCCATCACCAGGCCGCCAGCGCACGAGGTGCAGAGGCACCCGTTCTTCTGGCCGGCAGAGCAGCGGCTGGCCTTCCTGCGCGATGCCAGTGACCGCGTGGAGGGGGAGGACCGTGAGCTGCACTCGCCCCTCCTCAACGCCCTAGAGGCAGTGGCGCCCAGGGCCATCCCTTGAGGCGCCTCAACAACTGTTTCCCCCACTCTCCCTCGCCCACTACCCACCCACTACAGGCCCCCAGCGCACGAGGTGCAGAGGCACCCGTTCTTCTGGCCAGCAGAGCAGCGGCTGGCGTTCCTACGAGACGCCAGCGACCGCGTGGAGGGGGAAGACCGAGAGCTGCACTCGCCACTCCTCAACGCCCTAGAGGCAGTGGCGCCCAGGGCCATAGCTCGCAAGGGGGGGATTAGTAAAGCGCCTGGGGAGAAGGGTGGCGGGTGGAATGAGCGTGTGGATGGGGCGCTGCTGGGGAATCTGGGGAAGTATAGGCGGTATAACTTCCACAGTGTGAGGGACCTGCTAAGGGTGATTCGGAACAAGTGCAATCATTACCGGGAACTGCCGCCCGAGCTGCAGGTGAGGAGAGGAGAGAGTACGCATGCCTGTTGTTCATTCCCACGCATGGGGATAAAGTTTTTGTTTTCGTCGTCTTTGCTGTTGCATCTGGATTTTGGTGGGTGGTCCGTTGTGTCCTTCTATCGAGTATTCACTGTTCTGCTGTGTACCTTGCTGTTTATCTCTGTTTCCATACAGGAGCTTCTAGGTCCGCTTCCTGATGGATTTGAGAGGTACTTCAGAGATCGGTTCCCGCACCTCTTATTGGAAGTCTACCATGTGTTGCTGCAGCACTGCGCCCACGACCCCATCTTCACAAAATACTTCTCTCCAATAATTCATTAATAAGATAATAAGACGCTAGTGTTAAACTTGCACACCCATGTACCTTGTGTGTGTGCAAGCCCTGAGCCCCTAAACGAGGTTGGCTCGCATGTCGAATCACATCTTGATGTTCAGTCTATGATGCCACGTGTTTCGTTCTGGTCCGCATTCATCCCTATTCTGCTCGAAGAGGAGGGGAGAGAGTGGGTTCTTCGCATTTGGCGCTGGTTTGCCGTCGTAACCGATTTCGTTACAAATCGCGCCTCTCACGAATTGTTCGTTCGTTCGTTCACTATAACGTGGTAACTAGCTTTGCATGCATTGCTGCTGTTCGTACTAATGAATTCCGTCCCAACATTTCTAATTTCCGAAGCTACGATTCCCAACAGCTAGTGCTTTTTGAAATTGCCATGGCAGCAGCGCTCGCCTCGCCTCTCGCGTCTCGCATCGTTGCCATCAGCCGATCCCCTCGTCTATCCAGCGGTGCTACTGCATTCAACGGCGTGCGACAACTGATCTTGTGAGCCTGCTTTTACTGCCATTTTCTGCCTTTCCCAGTAAGATCAGCTGGTTGTTACCCTTTTTCAACTTCGCGAAAGTGACGAGGTCATTATCCCCTCGTCTTGTTTGTTTTTTTCCAGGAGAAACTATAATTCTCCCGAGCGTGACCACGCCTCGACGTCTCTCCCTGTTGTTCGGCGGGCGTCTCGATCGCGCGTGGTCATGACGTCAGCGTCAGCGGCGGATGGGGGGTCAGCGGCCGCAGCGGGCAGCGACGAGCTGGCGGAGTTCGTGTCGCGCGACAACCGTCGCATGCTGCACGTCGTCTACCGCGTTGGGAACCTGGACGCCGCTATCAAGTGCGTAGCTCAGTCGTTTACCGTCGCACGAGCTGGCGGAGTTCGTGTCGCGCGACAACCGTCGCATGCTGCGAGTCGCCTCCCGCTCGCCTCCCCCTCGTCTCCTCTCACCTCCCTGGTCGTTGACTGGGCGCTGTGGTTGAGTTGCTCGTCTTCACGCTGCGCGTTGTGACTAATCTCTGTCGGCCTGCAGGTTCTACACGGAGTGTCTGGGAATGAAGCTGCTGAGGCAGCGCGACATTCCCGAGGAGAAGTACTCCAACGCCTTCCTGGGCTACGGGCCCGAGACCTCCACGTTTGTCGTGGAGCTCACCCATAGTGAGTACCGAGGTCACCTGTAGTGAGTACCGAGGTCACCTGTAGTGAGTACCGAACCGAGGTCACCTATAGTGAGTACCGAGGTCACCTGTAGTGAGTACCGAGGTCACCTGTAGTGAGTACCGAGGTCACTCACCTATAGTGAGTACCGAGGACACCAGTAGTGAGTACCGAGGTCGCCTGTAGTGAGTAGCGAGGTCACCTATAGTGAGTACCGAGGTCACTAATAGTGAGTAACGAGGACACTTATAGTGAGTAGCGAGGTCGCTTATAGTGTCCTGGCGTGTTATGGTATTGGGCTAAATGAATCTCTCCCCCCACTCCTCCCTTGCACTGCTGCCCTGCCCTGCCCTGCCCTGCCCATGGCCTTGTTGTGCGGCCAGACTACGGGGTGGACTCGTATGACATTGGAGCGGGCTTTGGGCACTTCGGCATCTCTGTTGATGATGTGAGCCACGCCATTTGTCACAACCAAACACTAAGCTGTACGAAATCTCAGGTTTTGCCAGTGCACTGGGCATGGCTGTCAGCCATGCAGCCAGTGCACTGACCGGGCCGGGCCAAGCCATTGCATAAATGATTCTCTCCCAGAGTTGTTGAGAGCAGGGATTCAGAGGTTTACCTCTCCCCTGTGCAGGTGTACAAGACGGTGGAGGTGGTGAAGTCGCGGGGCGGCAAGGTGACTCGCGAGGCTGGCCCTGTGAAGGGCGGACAGAGCGTCATCGCTTTCGTTGAGGTCCGTATCCTTAGCTGTGATGCTGTCATGGCATGGTGGCATGTTGGCGTGATGGCGTGATGCTATGCTGGCATGGTGTCATGGTGCTGTGTGTGATGGCATGTTGATGTAATGGCATGGTGATGTGATGGCATGGTGGCAGGCTACCATGCAGTGTGTGGTGTGGCTGATGTGTCCTTTCTTCTCTATCCCCACCTCCCCCTCGGTGGATCTTCTTCCTTGAGAATTCATTCAACCTTCTTTAGCCAAGTGAAAAATCGCCTCATGCGTCATTCTTTCCTAATTCTTGCATTGCATCTCTTCAATCCTTTCCCTTGACGATTCATCGTCCCGCACATGTGCCTACCTGCGCCCTTCCCATTGCCATGTGTTCCATTCCCCCCTCCTCTTCCTCCTCCACATCAATCTTCCGAATCACAGGACCCGTCTGGGTACAAGTGGGAGATTATTCAGCGGCCACCTACTCCCGAGCCACTGTGTCAGGTTCGGATGCCCTGTCACGTGCTGCTCGTTTTTCTCAGTATGCTGCAACTCAGAAATTGTGGAAATCATCATGCTTTATGTGTGAGCTAGCCGTTATGCTCCATGCCACCATGTCATCATGCCATCATGACTCCATGTCACCATGCTTCCACCTCACCATGCCGCCATGCCGCCATGGCTCCATCCCTCCATCTCACCACGTCACCATGGCACCATGCAGGTCATGCTGCGAGTGGGGGACCTGGACAGGGCAATTAAGTTTTATGAAAAGGTGCATACACCCACCTGCGCCTCCCATGCCATCCCTCCCATCGCATCCCTCCCATCGCATCCCTCCGTCCCATGCATGCTGTCACACACCGGGCTGCCACACAATCTCATGGCGTTCATGGTGCCAGGATAGTCAACCCCATGCTCAAATGCACGTGCTGCCATGCACGTGCTGCCATGCACGTGCTGCCATGCACGTGCTGCCATGCACGTGCTGCCATGCACCTGCTGCCATGCACGTGCTGCCATGCACGTGCTGCCATGCACGTGCTGCCATGCACCTGCTGCCATGCACGTGCTGCCATGCACCTGCTGCCATGCACCTGCTGCCATGCACCTGCTGCCATGCACCTGCTGCCATGCACCTGCTGCCATGCACCTGCTGCCATGCACCTGCTGCCATGCACCTGCTGCCATGCACCTGTTGCCATGCACCTGCTGCCATGCACCTGCTGCCATGCACCCCCCCCGCTGAGCGGCTGTTTGGCTTGTGACAGCTGCCTCATTCGCCTCTCCAGTCCCTTGCCACCCGTGGTTACACCTCACTGCTTTATGTGCCTGCGTGCTCATAATCGCCTCGCCATCAATCCCTCCTCTGCCTCCGTGCTCATGAATCACGCCCATGCCTGCTTGCAGGCATATGGCATGAAGCTGCTGAGGACAAGGGACAACCCACAGTACAAGGTATCCACACCCCCCTCCTTTGCCGCTGCAACTGCACCTTGATTTTCAGGAAAGCCCCTGCTGCTGCACCTTGGCTTCCCTCTGCTGCATCTGTGTTTTCACAACCCCTCCCCCACCACTCTCTTCCACCCCTCCCCCACCACTATTTTCCACCCCTCCTCCACCACCCCTCCACCACCCCTCCGCTTACCTTGTTGCTGTGTCAACCTGCTGTGTTGACCCATCTCTTCGCTCCCATGCCCTCCTGTCCCCTCCCTTCCCTGACAGTACACGATAGCCATGGTGGGGTATGGGCCCGAGGCAGAGAGTGCAGTGGTGGAGCTCACATACAACTACGGCGTTGAGTCCTATGAAAAGGGCAATGCCTATGCACAGGTACTACCATGTGCTTGCTCAAGTACTGCAGTGTTGCCTGAATGCTGTTTTCCAGGTGTTTCCTAGGTGGTTCTTTCTCCTGTTGTTGCGCCTTTGCTGCTCTCTCCTGTCATGCGTTTCAAATGCTTCCCTTATCGCTTTCCCCTCTTGCTTTTGTATATATCGCTCTCCACAGTGGCATCTCTTTCACTTGACTTGTGCCGTTGTCTTACCTACCGTAATCTCCATCCCCATTCGTCCCTGCTCTGTGCTGCGATCCTGCTATCCTCCAGATCGCGATTGGAACAGACGATGTGTATAAGACAGCAGAGGCCATTCGGGCGGCGGGCGGCACCATCACTCGCGAGCCGGGCCCGATCCCTGGCATTAACACCAAAATCGTGGCTTGCCTTGACCCCGATGGGTACAAAACGGTGAGGATGAGTAAATTATTCGGCCAACATGCAGTGATTTTTTGGGATATTATCAACCGCTTACATTGCTATTTTGGCTGTTGTTACATTGCTTGCAGGTGTTTGTCGACAACCAGGACTTCCTTCGTGAGCTGGAGTGAAAGCAGCAGTGATGCCAGCATTGCTGCCATATGCAGCAAAGCCTAGAAAACACATATGTGTATAATGGTAGATGAGTGGAAGATATGGCTTCAATAGCTCTTTCAGATCGTTGCTTTGTTGAAGGGGGAAATTGGCTGGTATTCGTCAGTTTCGCATTCAACGCACGCGTGCAGCGACGGGTTACCATTCGCTAATGTCTCGGCCTGCATTTCCCCCATACCGCACAACCCCCCCCCAACCCCTCTTGGAAAATGTCACTAGCTGGAATGGACAGGTTTCATCGAAGCGCCTTCAAGCGCTCATCATGCCTCGTTTCGCGCCACGTCACCACGGCCTGCCACCCGAATCACCAACGGGTACGGTGAAAGAGGAGGAAAGCAACGACGAAGCACACAATCTGCTCTCGTGGCCCCGGTGACAAAACTACGGAGGGAGAAGTCGAATGCACCGAGGGGGGTCTCGCCGACAGCCGTCTGCGTGACGGCATGACGACAGCACGGCTGGCGCGAGACGCAAAACCGGGGAGCACGCAACACAGGCCTAGCCTCGCCGACGCTTCGATTCTTCGCTGTCGTAGTTCGAGGAATAGGAAATGGCTGAGCAAGGAGGACGAAGCGGCGGGGGGGATCGTGGGGGAGGCGGCGGAGAGGGAGGGGCGCATGACCGGAGGGCAGATGCGGAGGCGGAGGCGGAGGCGGAGTCGGATCCCAAAGCGTGCGAGCGGCCGTTCGAGCAGCGGCAGTCGTGGCTGCACCGGCGCGGCAAGGGCGAGTGGAACTCGGGGCTAAAGGACTTCCCTCGGGATCCCCGCGCCGCGGCGCTCGGGTGCTGCGCGCCGTGCTACCTCTTCGCGCAGACGGCGCGCAAGATCACCGACGGGCGCGTGCAGTTCTCGAGGCGAGTCGCCTCCTCCTCTTCCGAGCTAGACGGCGCCCTGAATATCGTTTTCTGGCTTGGCTGTTGAATGCCCTGAATGGCCTCACCGCCCCACACCGCCCATCACCACCCATCATCTCCCTTCACCTCCCTCGCCTCCCCGTCCGCAGGGCCTTCGCGACGTACTGCCTGGTGGGCGGGTGTTGGGGCGTTCCTCTCTCGTTCATCCTCGGTCCCTTGGCCTACTGGTTCACGTGTGTGCCGTGCTATGCGGAGTCTATTCGCCGCCAGCTGCGCCACAAGAAGGGGCTGCACGAACGACCCATGGACGACTTTGCCGCCCACTGCTGCTGCCACCCCTGCGCGCTTTGTCAGGTGCTACCATCCGTATGTGCTTCGTCAGGTAGTGCTGCTACGATCCGTACGTGCTTCGTCAGGTAGTGCTGCTACGATCCGTACGTGCTTTGTCAGGTAGTGCTGCTACGATCCGTACGTGCTTTGTCAGGTAGTGCTGCTGCTGCTGCCGCTGTGGCCCTTGGAGGTTTATCCAGCGCATGCAGGAGTACAGGGAGACCCGCGAGTTTGACTTGGAGCTGGTGGCGGGGCCAACACACCTATTCGCCTATGTGACTGTTATGTGCCTGTACCCTTACACCCACCAACCAACATGATCATGCAGGAGTACAGGGAGACCCGCGAGTTTGACTTGGAGCTGGTGGCGGGGCCAACGCACCCCACTGTGCCCGTACTCTCATGTGCCCTCATCTTCAATCCATGTGTGCATGTCACACCCACCCCCAACCATGATGCGCATGCAGGAATACAGGGAGAGACGCGAGTTTGACTTGGAGTTTGTGGCAGGGCCCAGACACCCATGTGCCATGTACTCGTGTCCCTACACACTTCAATGCCCTCATGACCACCAACCATGATGCCCACGCAGGAGTACAGGGAGACCCGTGAGTTTGACTTGGAGCTGGTGGCAGGGCCAACACACCCCACAGTAGACCGACCACCATCGGAAACTGCCAGGCATCTGGAGCACCTGCAGGAGACGCAGCAGATGGAGCGGTGATGCGCATTGGGTGCAGAGCAAATGGTACCAGCTTTTGGGGACAACAGTTGACTCCACAAGAATGACGGATACCAGCAGATACCACAAACACCACAGGTTCAGCAGGATACGGATGGAGTCAAAGCCAGTGATTCTTAGTCGAGTGAAAAGTACCGTAACTGGAAGATGTAGCAAATAGCAGAGACTCAGCAGGAGGATACCTGACAGCATTTTCCAATAAGGTCAATGACCAGGCCAGGCCTCACGTTTTCAGAGTAAATTACTCTGTTTCTCTGAAAATCAGAGTCATTTTTGAAAGTAACTCTGTACCCGCTGGGTAATTTTTTTGGGACTTCCGATTTCTCTGATTTGTCAGAGTTATGCTGTAGTTTACTCTTGAGGCCTCTGGGTTTTTTTTTCGGGGACCGAATTTACTCTGTATAGGGAATACCTGCCGGCCCCCCCTCCCCCGCCCCCCTCCCCTCCCCACCTCCCCCTGCGTTTAGCGGGTTTTCCCCGAATCGTCGAGATCATTCTCCTGATTTCTGTCGTGTGTTGGCGGCAATATGAGCAGAGCACTGATTGGCTACCGTAGTTTGACAACTTTCCCAACCAGCGCACGATGCCAGCCAGTCCCCTCTCTCTTTATGTCTGAAGTGAACGTCGACGTTTCCCGACGAAACTTTGAGGGACGTCGAGGAATCCTGACGGTCGGAACGCTCAATCCGAGGGTTGAGATTCGCCAGCATTCCCCGACGAAACTGTACATCCGTCGACATTTCACTTCAGACACGCTCTTTGGGGGTGTCCGAAGTGAAACGTCGACATCCGTGGACATCCGTTTGGGGATGTCAGTAAATCCTGACGGTTGGAACTGTCGATCCGAGGGATGACATTTACCGACATCCAGCGACATCTATTGACGTTTCACTTCGGACACGCCCTTAGTCAGATTATCGGTGCCGCCAACACCTGACTCTGAAACATCGCAGTGAGGGGGGAAACGTGGGCGACGCGGAAATGCAAGTACAAAAGGCGTAACAAAAACCTATTAAGGTCATGGTACACCAAACTTAACTAACATCAGAGTAGAGAAAAATATTACTCTGACGTGCCTGGGTTTTTTTTTGAAAGTATAGGGTTACTCTGACAAATCAGAGTAAGGCGCAGGAACAACCCTAGATTTCAGAGTTGGGAAAAAAACTACTCTGGAAATCAGAGTACCTAAAATCCAAAAATAGGCCCTGGACCAGGCTTGTACAGACTCCGAAATGGAGTGCAAGACTCACTGCAAATGATCTACCTTTATTCATTTCTTCAGGCTGAGATTGAGCTTACAGCACCTATCTCGCGTTGAGCTGTGACCCGAAACATGTTAATGTGAAAAGCTGGCAGCTGAATGTGCTGCACATGCAAAAGCTCTGCACCTTGTCCAAGGTTTTGAGAGCTAATGACATTTTCCCTAGACTTACTATGCCACACCAGTGTGACAATAATGAATACAATAGCTCTGGACTTGTTGCTGGGATGACAATCACCATAATCATACGCTATCTACATCTCCTCGATCAGCTGCTTGATGGACGCAATGGGTAGCAAGCCCTCGGTGCGGACGGCAAGCTTTGACTTATCCTTGCTCACAAACACCACTGTGGGTAGCCCACGGATCTGGATATGGCGAGGGATGGTGTGGAGGGATCAGGCATGGGAGGGAGGGAAAGCACGCGCGATGGGGAAGAGGGTTGAGGGTTTGCGGTTGGAGTGAGGTGTGAGGGGAGGTATGTAGAGAGCATATGAGGGGTGTGAATGTACTTGAGAGCGACCATGTGTTTTGAGGGAGTGAGCGTTCGATTAAGCAAATGTGTGCGAATGTGCGAGCGAGTGTAAGTGCGAGGGCATGGGCGCAGGCCTCGAGCTGATTGGCAAGCTCATACTCCTCGTCCGTGTGGGCACGCGCAGGAGGTGTGTATGTGAGCGTGCGTGTGAGTGAGGGAGCGAGAAAGTGTGAGTGCGAGGGCATGTGTCGGCTCGGCACAGGCACGCACCTCGAGCTGGTTGGCGAGTTCGTACTCCTCGTCCGTGTCCACCTTGAGAAACAGCACCTCTCCATGGTACTCCACTGCTAGCTGCACAAGGGGAACGGCGGCAGCGCAACATGGGGGCATGGCGGCATGGGGGCATGGGAATATGGGAGTATGGGAGTATGGGAGTATGGGGACATGGAAGCATGGGAGCGTGAGAACAAGGGGTATGGGAGCATGGGGGCATGAGGGGTATGAGGGCATGGAGGCATGAGGGGTATGGGAGTATGGGGGGATAGGGGTATTATGGGTATGGGGGGCATGAATTGAGTCAAACGGCGCACCTGTTCGAGTTCCTGTCCGAGGAGAATGCAGGGGCCGCACCACGTGGCGTGGAAGTCGGCAAGTGAGTCAACTCAAAGAGCGGCACTACTATTCTTGAGCTGCGTCACTAGAAACTGACCTGCTCCAGCTCCTGTGCGAGGAGGATGCAGGGGCCGCACCACGTGGCGTAGAAGTCGATCACCATCGGCAGCGGCCGATCGCCCGACAGCAACGCGTCCAGCTCCTTCCCGTTCACTTTGCGCTGCCCGCGGGACGGTGGGGGGGGGAGGGGGAGAGGGGGAGGAGAGGGACGGGGGACTGGGGACAAGAATTGAGGCGATTATCATGTATTCTTCAGTACTTGTCTCCGGTTATATCTATCCTTGTTTTTTTTTTCCGTATTGTTTTTTTGTTTTTCGTTTGTCATTGATGAAGGATATAGCCATGGATCCAGCATGCCGTCATACCACGAGGTTGCATTGAACAGAGAACGCTGATTGGCTGCTCGTCCCCGCTCTCGCCAATTTGCCCCTGAAGCTGTCCGATCGCAGACCCCGAATGCCGCGTGCGCGAAGCGGATGCGACAGCGCTGCCGTCGCATGTTGTCGCACGTGAGCTGAATCGCGCGATACAGTCGCAGCGGCGCGTGAAGTCGCGAGGCCGCTGATCGCGGGAGTTACGGCAACAGCCGACGCCATGGAATGTCACGAGGTCTAGGGGCGAGCGGCTCAGGCCACTATGGAACGCGGTACGGAAGAAAAGCAAACGGAATTGATCACGGAGGAGCGAGGACAATAACGAGAAGGCGTTTTTTCAAGACGCGAGTGACGGCGGCAGACAGCGAAACAGCGGCACCGCCGAGCTGAAGGAAGCGGGATGAGTGATAAAACAAGGAAGGGCGGATTGGAGCTGAGAGGAAGAGGAATGAAATGGTTCTCGAGCTTGTATGGACTGGTTGGCTAGGTTGATGGCAGCATTATAGCGAAGACCGAGTAGATATTTGCGGGCGCCACGTAAAGCACGCAGGAAACGTGGAGATCCCTGAGGTTCCAGCATCATTTCGATTCGCTGGACATCGCACTGTACAGAAAAAGTGTTAACATGTTGTTACGAGTGCAATTGAGTGAACGAACGAGAATTGCACTATGTTGTTACGAGTGCAATTGAGTGAACGAACGAACGAAGTGTTAACATGTTGTTACGACAGCGCTGTCCCACGCTGTCGTGTTGCGTTGGTGTGCCGGACGAAATGACGATCGGCTCGTCCGATTGTGCAGATGCATTTGTCGGTACGTGTGGTGGCGCTGGAATGTTCACCGTGGATTGCTGACGTGCGGAGTCACGTTCCGCCGTGAGCGTCGCAATTTCGAGCGCCGAATCTTCAAGTTGGCGCACCAGACGGTCAAGCTGCTCCTGCGTCAATGTGGCGAGCGTGAATTCGGCCATGGCGGGGGTGTCGGGCGAGCTCAGCGAGAGCCTCGGTCGTGGCCGTGCGTGCTTACGAGAGAGCACTACGAGCGGCGGTGCTGTGTCGCTGAGAGACGTCTACCCCCCCCCAAAAAATTGAGATAGTGGGGAAGCGAAGGTGTGGGTGCGGTCCGAGAGGAGATCGTAGGCTCTGAATACCAAGTGTTACGAGTGCAATTGAGTGAACGAACGAGAATTGCACTATCGAAGCAAGAGTACAATGAGCGAAGGCATGAGCGAAGAATATATAGCGAAACTACAGTGGTAACGGTAATGGACTGTGGTTGTCGCGCGACGGGCCTGGGACTGTGGTTGGGAAAAAGTGTCGAAGCGGAGGCCCGGAGCGCGGGTTACTCGCCGAGCCGTGAGGTCGGGGTGCGATGTGCGAAGGTGGCGGGCGGATTGTCGATGTGAGGGTTGCGAGTGGTAACGGTGCTGACTGTGCTGCTACAGTGATGTACGCGTTGAGCAGGGATGCGAAGTAAGGAAAAGGAATTTTCCTTACACTACCCCCCCTCCTAAGGAGGTCCTCCTTACGAAAGTGCGTGTACATCCCTGAAATTTCGGCTGCGCAGATACTCGGTGAGGACGGGGTGGTTTTCAATTCTGTCCAGGGGAACCCAAATGTCTTCGGTGGGTGTACGGTCTTTCCAGCGGAGTAAGAACTCGATCCTTCGGGCTCCTCGAGGGTCGCGAACTCTGTGACTCAGGATTTTCTCGGGGGTGATGATTGTGAAGAAACAAGAATGAATGAACTAGCACAAGGTTGGGTACAAGTAGGAAACCCTAGGAAACTGTACCCCATAGTGTCTACCCCACTATAGCCTAGACAAGCTATATAATATGAGTTTGACACACCCCCATAGGCAAAGTGGGGGAGAACAAGAGGTCACAAGACCAGTCAAGCAAAGCAAAGCAAGCTCAGGGTGGATCACAACGTCACCACACAATCCGAGCACAAGAGAAAGGCAAAAAAGGCCAGTTCACATGCAAGATCATATATAAAGGTAAACAAGCAAGGGCAGGTATAGAAAGATCACAGTACAAGCAAGGTCAAGAAGTGAGCAAGTGAGGCCAGGTAGGCACAAGACCTAGCATAGTACAGAAGCGCTGATGATCACCAGGCGGAAGTGCCTTGGTAAAGATATCAGCAGTGTTGGCCTCAGAGGCCACGTAAGCAAGGCGCAGCTGACCACGCTGCTGCAGCTCACGAGCAAGGAAGTAGCGAAGAGCAATGTGCTTCGTTCTGTGCTCCAGTCTGTGCTCCCAACACAAGGCCAGCATGGCCTTGTTGTCTACGTACAGAACTGGAGGAGAACGAGGCGGCTCTCCTAGGTCAGTCAGCAGGTAGGTGAGCCAGCGTAGCTCCTGTGCAGCCATGGCCCCCGCGTAGATCTCAGCCTCACAACTGGAGCCGAGAACAGAAGACGAGCGGGTAGACCGCCACGAAACAGAGCCGGAGCCAAGGCTGAAGGTGTAACCCTGTGACGACCGCTGCGTAGCCTGGTCGTCAGCCCAAGAAGCGTCTGCGTGACCTGTGAGGACCACTCGACGTCGCCCTCCAAGCACTAGCCCCATGCCCGACGTACTGCACAAGTAGCGCAACACCCTCTTCGCTACAGCCATGTGCTCTGGTCGGTGTCTCCCAGGAGCAACATAGCGTGCCAAGATGCTAAGAGGGTATGCAAGGTCAGGTCGTGTGCAGGTCATCAGGTACATGAGGCAGCCAACAAGCTCTGGGTACGGGCCACTCGGCTCTACGGACTCATCCGAAGGCAGAGCTGAGAGCGAGTGGCGAGTAGACAGAGGAGTGGCCTGAGGCGAGGAGTACGTGAAGTCGAAGCGCTGAAGGACCTGCTGCACCATGTGTGACTGAGTCAGGGTAAAGGTGCGCTGTTCTCTGTCCCGGGTGATCTGCAAGCCAAGATAGCTGCGCAGTTCACCCAGGTCTGTGCACGTGTGTCTCTTCTGCAGCTCCGACTTCACGTGGGCGAGTCCAGCAGTGTCAGCAGTGGCAAAGACCAAGTCGTCAACGTACACGAGGATGTAGAACGGCGGCAGAGAGGTGTCGGTGCGCAGAAACAGCGACGGGTCGGCTGTAGAAGGAGCAAACCCAAGAGCCGCAAGTGTAGTCCTCAGTGTGTCGTGCCACTCACGGGGCGCCTGGCGGAGACCGTAGACTGGCCGCCGGAGGCTCCACTGGGTACCAGGGGGAAACGACCCAGTGAAGCCAGGTGGGCGGCGCAGCCAGATCTCCTCGTGCAGACTGCCCTGTAGGAAAGCTGTGCTGAAGTCAAGAGAGTGAAGCTCGTAGTCGCGCTGAGCGGCTATGTGCAGCAGCACCCGAAGAGTGGTCATCTTCGGGGTGGGAGAGAAGGTCTGAAAGTAGTCAACTCCCTGCCGCTGACTGAAGCCTCGAGCCCCGTAACGCGCATTGAAGACAGGCAGAGAACCCGGCGGCCGCATCATCCTGAAAATCCACATGCCACTGACGATGTTCGCCCCAGGTGGGGGAACCTCGTCGACGTAGGTGCCTGTGGACTTCCAGGAAGCCATCTCTGCGTCCATGGCTGACTGCCACTGAGAGGAGTAGGGACCCTCGATCGCCTCAGCGTACGATCGAGGAGTCGGGATGTCTGGTGCATCCGGGTCTCCCTCAGGGGCAATCAGCGTGGACACGAGATGAGGCAAAGCAGCAGCAAAACACTGGAACTCCTCCTGCCTGTCCTCAAGGACGTCCGTGCTAAGAGCACACTCACCCCCGACGGACGGAGGACAGACAGACTCAGACTCAGCAACAAGACTAGCAGCGTAGTCGAGACGACAGCGAGCAGCGAAGTCGACAAGCTCAGCAACTAGAGCAGACGCAGCAGTGGACTCAAAGGAAGGGTCAGTGACAACAGTAGCCAGGAGACGCGTGACAGAACGACTGGCAGCAGGAAGAGAGTCAGACTCCGGGTCAGCAAGAGTAGGAAGAGAGGACTCTGGAGGAGACGGCAACGGGACACGCAGAGGAGCAGTGGAAGGACGCAGTGCCATCTGGTGTGTGCCTGGGACCGCAGGAGGACGCGGACGCGCAGTACGACCACTAGTGCGAGCAGCACGAACAGGCGACGCAAGACGAGACGCAGGCTCACGACGCTCAGCAAGACCTCTAGTAGGACCAGTGTAGGGAGAAGGAGCAGGCAGGGGGGAGGCGGGCTGTAACTGTGACTGCGACTGGACAGGCGGTGGACACTCTAAGGGAGGAGCAGGACCAGTAGACGGCGGAAGACCAAGAACCTGCTCAAGGAGCGGAACGAAGTACGGCCGCGGCCGCGCAGCGCCTCCAGAACCAGCAGGGACAGCACCAGTACCCCCAGCGGCAGTACCAGCGCCATCAGCACCTCCAGCTCCAACAGCGCCAACTCCAGCACCCTCAAACGTACCAGCGCCAGCAGCACCACCAGCGCCAACACCCCCAGCAGCTCCAGCTCCAGCAGCTCCAGCAGCACCAACTCCAGCAGGACCGGCAGCTCCAGTACCGCCAGCAGCTCCAGCAGTACCTCCAGTAGCCCCAGCAGCACCCCCAGTCCCAGCAGCTCCAGAACCGCCAGTACGAGCACCTCCGGGACCAGCCGCAACAGTAGTACCTCCAGCTCCAGCAGCACGGCTCCAGCGCCGGGCAAACCACTCGCGCAGCTCCTGCGGAGAGAGTGGCTCCCGCCTCGAAGAAGCACCGCGTGAGGCCACACGAGCAGACCCAGCACCCCCAGGCTCAGCACCCCCAGACTCAGCACCCCTAGGCTCAGCACCCCCAGTCTCAGCACCCCCAGTCTTAGCACCCCCAGGCTCCGCACCCCTAGACTCAGCACCCCCAGGCTCCGCACCTTCAGGCTCAGCACCTCCAGACCCGGCACCCGCAGGCTCAGCACCTCTAGCAGCACCAGAGTCAACAGCTACCTCGACAGGCTCAACTGCGTCTACCTGGGACACACCTGACGGGGCAGGACCCTGAGGGGGGAGGGGGTCTACCGGGGGAGGACCTGGCGCAAGGAAGAGCGGCGGCGGGGGGAGGGGTGCAGTGCGGTAGGGGAAGAGACGGTAGTAAGGCACCGACTCGTCAAAGGTGACGTCCTGGGAGGACAGAACACGGCGCGAGGTGGGGTGGTAAAACTGCCACCCAGGCGCGTCAGGGGGGAAGCCAAGGAAGACGCAGGGAACAGCACGGGGGGACAGTTTGTCCGCAGAC